ATATATATATATTATATATATATATATATATATATATATATATATATATATATATATATATATATATATATATATAATAATATATATATATATATATAATATATATATATATATATATATATATATATATATATATATAGATCTATATGTGATTGGTGTATATGTAATTGTACACGTATATTTGTATGTATTTGTATATGTATATGTATTATGTATATGTGTATGTGCATTGTATAAACAAGCATTCAATACCTGCTTACACATGTCAATCCAAAATTTAAATACTCTCGATGATATATTCAACAGGTACCAAAACAGGATATACCTTTTCTTTGGTGAGGATTTCGCATGCATCTTCGATTGAGGCCTCTGCTTTAATACTGATGAGAGTCTGCCCTTTAATTAGGTCGCCACACTTGGCTTTGCGCAGCACATTTTCGACTGTTAAAATCTGTCCCTCTGTAAGTCTTCGTTCGGGCGACATAATATATAATATATAAATATCTAGAAATAGTATACTATGATAAATAACTAATAAAAGTGTTTCGTATCTAGTAAACACCAACCTATATGTACGATTGTATACACGCTCGCGTACAGTCACAAACTCACAATGTTATTTTCATACACAAGATACACATCCCAATGTCCCATGACTCATTGTATCATAAGTTCATAACCGACAGTACAAACGATACTCCAGTAACTCCCCGAAGTATGAAAAAGTGTGTTCTTGCTTTGCAAAAGACCAGTCCAAAGTCTAAACAAACCCAGCACTCCGGGCTCCAGCGACCAGCAGGGCCTATACGATCTATTCAACTAGCGGGAAAGAACATTCCAGAAAACTTGGAATGCGCTGAAATCTTCCGACTTCCACGGCTCCACCAGTGAAATTTTAATTAAATAAAAACATCAAAGTTTTGTCTCTTGTCTTTTCTCTGCTAATTATTGTTGTTGGGAATATGTGGGTCATAATGAAATTTTAACGTAAACGTGTATTTTTCAGCAATGTACATTTCTATATCGGTATATTTAACGCTTATCTTTATATTTTTTGAATTATAAAAATGGGTTAACGTATAAAAATCAAAAACCAAAAACCAAAAATCAAAACTAAAAAACAACCCCGACTCCGAGTCCAGCCTGCCTCGATTATGTACCTCGAGTCCTCGACGCGTTTGGTAATTTTTTTTAACAATGGCCAATGGAGTGGCCGCAGGCCGACTGGCCACTGACCGGTATGTATACGCCGGGGCGCCACGGCGTCAGTGGCACACTATTTTTACAGTGCAGTGCAGAACTGCAGATACTTCGGGACGTCGCTGTTCTAACGAGTCTTCCGAGTTGGAAATCATGCCCTCTTGGTTCCCTATCGGATAGCTTAACCAGTTAAAGCCTGCTTGTTTAACTTTTAACAAAAAGAAGAAATAATGGCTGCTTTATATTAAGCCAGTCTCGATGTGTTAGCTGTGAGGTTCTACATTCTGTTGCTATTTACAATATAAGTCGAGAGAGAAGGGCCAAGAAAATAGGGATGGAAAACTGGAAATCTGGATCGTTAGTTTATATGGATCGGTTTAGCTTTAAACAAAAGAAGAAATCATGACTACTTTATATTAAGCCAGTCTCGATGTGTTAGTTGTGAGGTTCTACATTCTACTACTATTTACAATATAAATCGAGAGAAACGCCAAGAGAATAGGGATGGAAAATTGGAAATGTGGATCGTTTAGACATGTCGGCGACAAGTCGATATGTTCGAAGCGCTAACGCAGTGTGCCATATTTGATTTCGCGCAGATACAGGACATGTAAATAACGTATATATA